GATGTCCCTCGGCCCCTTTCCTTTCCCTCCCCGGCTTTGGTTGCAGCGCCGCCCAAGCCACTCTGCGGCCTGAGGCCGAGCAGCGGGCGGGGGGAGGCTTCCTGCGCTGCGCCCGCGGGAATCCGGATCATTTGCCCCCCCCCCGGAGACCGAAAGAGAAAGGAAAGAGAGAGATCGCGCTAGCCCTTCTTCTCCTTCCTTGCAAATATGAACACGCGCCCGACCCAAGCAAATCGCCACTCCGGGGGACAGGCTTTGGCTGATGGGGAGGGTTGGATCCCGGGGACGGGGGGGGCACCAAAGGTGGGTGCCTTTTGCGAGAGCCGGCGGGGGGGGGAAGGCTCCTCTAAGAGGCATTGCGGTGCCAGAAGACTTTGGGGGGCGGGCATAGAAGGGGCAAGACAGGGAAGAGTTCAAAAGGCATCGGTGGGTGGGTGGGGAGTTTGATCAGCCTCCCGCCGGTCCAAGGTCATCATCTCCACCCCACATTATGTAGCAATAATCAAATGTGGATTTTTCAAGCGGGGCTCATTGCTGTGCTGGAGGTGGGTCCGCTCAAGAGCCAGAACTTGGGGCGGGGTCTTTTAAAAAGGTAACGAAAAGAGAGTTAAGAGGCACCATGTTTCTGAACATCCCTGGGAGTCTTCATCATCCTCAGAGGGCATCGTGGTAAGATGTACTCCAAAAACGAGGCCAGATTCTGGAGAACCGGAAAGGTCACCTTGTTAGGTTTTTAGTGCCCCTGTAAAGATACGGCTTTCAATGCGCAGTGTCACCAGTGGTCAACACCTTGAGTCATCCAGCTTGAGTCGCACAGAATTATCTCCATCATCCTCATGTGATCCAAGCTTTGGGTGTTTTTTTTGTATTCTCCAAGGCTTTCACGGCGAGGATCTGATGGTGGTTGTGGGTTTTCCGGGCATCTAACTCTTGTCCTCTGAAGATGCCGGCCACAAAGACTGCCAAATCGTTAGGAAGAACCACCTTCAGAACACACGGCCAAATACTGTAGTCCGAAAAACCCACAACAACCATTTGTGTGGTTTTTTTTCTTTTTTTTAAAGATGGGACACTCTTTTTCAACAAACAGACCAACTGCCCCCTTCCTTCTGCTGATTTGAAATGATTCATTGGAGAGAAAGTGGGAAGAGTGACGAAAACCTGGAATTTGTACTTTTAGCCTATTTTTATAAAGACTTCCTTGAAAGGATGGCCATGGGGGTGATCTCAGATTGCGAAAGTGGTGCTTATTGAAAAGGTTTGCTCCAGAGGATCCCCAGCTGGCTGAGGCAGTATTAAGACAGTGCCAAGGTTCAAAAAGCTCCGGATGGTCAAACTGTTGTTGAATGCGGAACGGCTGTGCTCCGTGTGTCCATTTCCTCAGTGAGAGACTCCACCATCTTTTCTCAGCGACTTCCAGCAGCGAGCAGCTCCTAGTTACCTACCCAACAAGGCACATATCTGGAAGTAGCTAGAGGGAAAAATGTTCAAAAAAACAGGATTTAGCCCCCCAAAGAAGCTTGAATTTTAGACTCTGGCAGGCAGCCTTCCAAGGCCATGTTCTTCTTCACTTCTGGAGAGAGGAGACAGTCTCTCCTCAGCCTGGAAGGGGGGCGGGAAGGATCTCTGTCTTCTCATGCTCCTTTTTTCTCCATCTTTCCCTTTCAGGGTGGAGGAAGCGGCCACCGATTTCTCCGAAATCTATAGACTGAAGAAGTTGAGGGTCCACAACATGCCTATATTTTTTTATTCCGAGGATCAAGCTGGAGGAAGCGGTTTCCCTCCCATTCCAGCATCTTTTCAAATATTTTTCCCACCATCTGTGTCTTTCTACCATCTTTTTAGATCATCAACAGATGACGTTGCTTCTGTTTTTAGTAGCTTAAGCGAAGTCACTGAAAATATGAAGCTCCCAGTTCAAAGTTCATTTAAAACAAACACACACACACACCCCAGAACTTCAGTTGTTTCATCCAGAGCAAAGTTTTATTTACTTAGAAGAACTCTAAAATATTCAGGGTTTAATTAGGTTTAAATACTTTCTCTTCCTTTTCACTTTTTTTAAAACAGTTGCATGAACTAATGCAGAGCTTTTTGTTAATACTAACCATGTTTAAATTAAATTAATAGGCGTTCTGGAAGACAAACTCAGTTGATAGAAAATATATTTATATATATTTACTGTACAAAGTTTACATTACATTTGAAAAGAAAGAAAAAGTCCATTTTCACCAATGTTACAGACTTCATTTTACGTACACGGTTGAAGTTTGTGGCGGAGGAGACCCCAAATGGACAGCTGCGCTTCACTTTATTTTTGTACAACACCAAAACAATACAGTCTGACAGAGCTAAATCACTCCCTTACAATCACCACAAGAAGGAATAGTTACAAACAGTTAGGAATTAATTGGCACAGAGATCCCTTTTCACCGTGCAACTGCTCTGGGTTCAGTTAATTTACCAAGCTACCTCCATGCTCCCTCTTCCCACTGGCACAAGTGTAGCGACTCCAGATTTATACCAGTGTAAACAGAGAAAGGTCACACAATCGCTCCTTGCCACCCTCTAAAGCAGGGCTGGAGAACCTGTGGCTCTACAAGTGTTTTGGACTACAAGGCCCATCAGCTAGCAGAAACAGGACAGGACTGTGGGCATTGTAGTCCAAAACATTCAGTTCCTCACCCCTGCCCAACAGGACTCAAATACTATTTGCATCTTTACCAACATTTCTATATTTAGTGATTCAAACCTTTAAAAATGTTTAAAAAAGGATTAGGCAGGATGGACAGGATCCAGTGGTGTCCAGCTGTGGGATTCCTCTGCTTTCCTCAAAACTAGCCAGTCCCTTCCTTGGCCCCCTTAAAACCTCTGGATGGCTGGGAAAGACCTGGGCCTGGTTCATGGATTACAGAGCAGCAGGAAGAAAACCCCCAATTCTGCCTGTGTCAGGTAGCCTAAAGCCCCACCAAATCTTAGCCAATGTATAATCGGGACATTGCACAATCTGCAACCTACAGGCAATTGCTAGTTGAGTAAACCCACTGAATCACTGCAGTTTGCTCAAGTGTTAACATTCAGCAGCTGATTCACTGGCTTTACTCTAGTTGGGACTAACAGTTCAATGTTAGGTAAAAAAAGAGAGAGAACTTAATACAGTTTGTAACCTAGGCGAGGACGCTCAACCAGATAGGGTGGAAGTGGGGTCTCATGATAGCACTCTTTTTTAAATTTCAAATGGAAGACGTGAGACAAACTTTGTGGCAAAATCAGTGACAATGTGGGGGCTGCCGCGACATGTCTCGAAGTCACACCTCGCAAGTCAAAGGAAAGGCCTCGGCGGCCAGTGGCGATTTGTAGCAGCGGCAGGAGACGGAGAAGCATTAAACGGAAAGCCTGATGTTATGGGGCAGTTGTTGTCAGGGGGGAGACCAGCCGGGATATTACGAATTCCCCAACCCGGTGCCCTCCATATAGCCTGGACTACTGCTGCCATCAATCCCACTCAATATACCCAACGGTCAGGGAACAAATGGAGGGCAACCCTAAACATGTCTGGTGGATTCGCGGCTGCTGTTTTGCGGGCAGACCGGAGGGGAGGCCGGACACCCCTGAGATGGCCTGACATCAGCCTCTCCGCCCCACACAAGCAGGAGCAAATAATGGGATCACTAAACATACAGAGGAAGTCAGGTTTTGGATCAGGTCACCCGATTTGGGCTGCCGGACTGAACTCCAGGGGTGAGATCCTGCTATGATCCAGCTACAGTTCTTCACAGGACAGGAGAAGGAGGAGGAAAGTCACGGATCAAGGAAGGAGAACTCATCGCTTTGGGAGACTCACCTGCTCGTTTCTCTTTCACATTCATTACATGGTGGCAACAGTGGAAGCTTAGCTACTTTGTATATACAAATACACACATACGCACATTCAGTCTCTCTATGGAGCGTTCTTGCAACTGAAAACTTCTCTATGTACAAAAAATAAACTTCTAGAAGTTGAACACATGAAGGCAAAGACAAGGTAAGGTCTCTTTCTCTTGACATGCTAGTTCTCTACATACAGAGAGCGCTGGTGTAAGCAGCAACCTTCTATCACGCGACCATGCCCTCTGCACATCTTTTGACATAACAGTCCCCAAGCCTCAAGAAGAACTAGGCTCAAGACTTGACATCTTAGGAGGTCTGCAGGCTTCTTTCGATCCCATCAATCTTCAGTAAGCCCATACCATTTCCCTTAGGAGGAGGAGGAGGAGATCTGGCAGGCCCCCACATCTCCATCCTCTTCTACAAGGAGATTCTGCTTAAGCTTATCTTCCCTAAAAGACACAGTTTTCACAGTCTAACACAGGCTTAGTTTTCTACATCTAGAGCAGCAGTTGGGGTAAAGAGTCTAGAGGAAACTCCACCCCAATGGCTGTAGGCACAGACTTTCAAGGGTCCGGTTCCTTTCCATCTTCCACATTTTTCTTTTTTAAAAAATGGCAAAGCCACTGGAGGCCACCAGTTCAGCAGTAACCAAAGCCTCCTGGCATGCTTTCACTTTTCACAAGAGCTGACTGGACAAGGTCAATGTCACCATCGGAGAATAGCCCATCTCCATATTGGGCAGTTGTTGTTCGTAAGAAGATCAAGCACTTGTTGGAACCATTAAACACACACACACAACCCCACCTCCCTCTTGGGTAGACTCTAGCTTTCAGAACTGCAAAAATTCAACCATCTCATCTTCTTGTACCCCTCTAGAGAGCTGGAAAGGGGAAATGCATCTCAGTTTCGTCACTAGACTGATTTCGTCATCATCCTATTATTCCCTTCTTTATTCCAGGAACAATCAGGATATTAAAGAAAGACTATACGTGTTGCTTTTTTTAAAGGTCCTTCCACACAACCAGCTAATAACTAGACCTAAAATGACTCCTGCTTATTCTTAATATTGGTTATGATTTTTTTAAATGTTGGGTTTCCAACAAAGGAAATCTCCCCACTCTCCAAGGAGGTGCAAGGAGAGAGAGACCAGCTTGTGGGCCTTTAGAAGGCAGAAGTGGGGAAAATTTGGCCCAAGAGATGTTCCTAGGCTACAGATACCATAGTTTGTGACAACTGGCCATGCTGTCTGGGGCTGCTGGGAGTCAGACTCCATGTATCTCTAGAGCAGTGGTTCCCAACCTTGGGTAAACCACAGTGTGCTGCACTTCCCAGAAGGCTTCACTGCCAGCTGTGCTGCCTGAGGTTTTCTGGGAGTTGCAGTCCAAGAACACCTGGGTTACCCAAGGTTGGGAACCACTGCTCTAGAGGACCACAGGTTCTCCAGCCTCTGTCCTGAGAGGAGTCTAGTGGTTACAAGCGGTGAGAGAGCCAGGAAGCCCTCTCTACACACCTCTGTGGTCTCTTAGATGCTGTCCATGTGGCTTCAAGGTATCCCACCCCGCCCACAAAATAACGAGAGGTAGAAAGTTGTGTTCAGTAATATTCCCAACCAAGATCTTAGCTTCTGTGCCATACAATACATTTCGCACTTGGAACCTCTGACAAAACTCAGTTCCTGCTCATAACAACCTGTTCCATTTCTGAGAGAAGTACTTCGGCTTCACTCTTTCTCTGCCTTTTCAGAGCAATTGTCCACACAGTCAATTTAAATCATTTCCAAACTCTGCCGAACGCCTATAATTCTACAACAGAGAAGAGTGTAATGACATCTTCCTGAAAACAGAATTTTCCAAACATTCACAAAAATGACCATTCCCAGCCTTTTTCGAGCGAAACTGGAGGCAATTCCAAAATGGCTTAAATGTCTATGCAGACAAGCCCCTTCAACTTCAAACCCTTCGTGGGCAAGGCTTCAAAACCTCATAGCTTCCTCGTCGACGAAATGAAGCTTTATAAATCAAGATGGCTTACAACAGCTCCATTTGAAAAACATTTCCATTTCTAAATTAAAAATCTTGCATCACATTTATTATTAGCCATGAAAAACAGAATCCGCACAGGAGGAAGATCAGTATGTAAACATTTTAAAAGTAAAGTTGCTGACTTGAGGTGTCAGAAATTAAGATAACAAAAGTCTAAATGAAATATCGCCGGGTCGGGGAAGGCTCACTGTCCCCTTTCAGGAATTGAGGGAGCTTCTGCCGAGTTCTCCAGCAGCTTTTTCCAGGTCAGCAAACGACACAGACAGAAACCAGGAATCAAGGACCATTAAAACACACACCAAGTTATATCTTTTGATTATTTGACTCCAAGTCGCCCAAGGCAAACCGTTCGAACCGGATGGAAACCTTGCTACTGTTAATGCTGAAGAGGAAGGGGAGGGGGAGGAGGAGGAGGAGGGGAGGGTGGAAAAGGAAATTGATTACAGTCACATTTTGAGTCTTTGTACAAAAATGGGAAGTGGCTGATAAGCTACTTAGTTCTCATTTCTAACACACAAAGCGGGATGGTTTAATTCACGCTTCCTTCTTGGGAGGCAGGAGACTGCTTCGTCCACAGCATCTCTGCCTATTCAGAAACTGAGATAGATACTGTGTGTTTTGCTGCAGGCACAGTGATGAGAAGGCCATCTAACCACCATACCACCCTCAAAGACTTTCTGAAGGAGGAGGAGGAGTGGGGCTTGGATGGAAGACCGCCAGAGAATGCTCAGCAAGGGTTAACCGAGAAACAATCCAGCCTGCCACCTTACAGAGCCACAGCTCCCCGGTCAGAGGGGACAATGCTGGTCAAAGCTAAGCCAAGGGTCTGACCCTGCGGGCAGCAGCTTCCTCTATTCTGCCTATGTCTACCTGCATTGAAATTCTGAACAGATACACTTGCTACGGGGGATTGGGTTCAATGGTGTCAGTCAAGGTACCACCAAAACTACGTTTACGCTCCAATCCTCTCCCCGCTCACCTAGGAATAAGTCCAATTGAATTTAGTAGGACTTACTTTCAGGGAGACACCCATAAATTGAGCTGTAATCTGGTAAAATTGGTCACTTTTTAAACCTCCAACTAAAAAGCTATCCCAGTTGCTATCTTTTAAAAAATGACATTTCCACCTCTATCTTTTTCATGCATGCACAGCAGAACGTCTCTTCCAGAAATTTGAGTGACAGATTAAAATAAGATAACAAAGGAACATGTAATTTATGCTGCTGTTCTCAAAATTGTCAGTTTTGCTACCCAATAAAATGATATCAATTTAATCCATTAAAACAATTCACTACATTTTATACGATTAATTAAATCAAAATGTCTTGAACTGGGCGACAACCTTCTTGTTCATCCACCTTGGAGGGAGAAGAGAGATGCACGTATTGATCATTATCCAAACTGATTCTGCAACTTATCAAGTGAGAGTAACTTTTGATGCTCTTCCGCTGGGCAGCCCAGCTGTACATAAGGGATCCCATTTATTGATTTATTATAAAATCCCCATAGAAAAGACAAGCGTACAGTGCTGGCTGCTGGTGGTTTTTGCTTACAACCTTGCATACGCGGCTGGTGGTAAAAGAGTTCGGAGAAACTGAACCACCGGGGACTACTCAAGAGGAGAGAGCGGCCAGGGAGACGGTGTGCTGCAGCCGGCGGGACACCCTTCGGACAGCGAGGAGGTTAATCTGGGCCCCGTGTTAGTTGCGCGCCGCGGTTCTTGCAGACAGGAATGGTTATTTCAAGTCAGCAGCCCACACCAAGAGAAGAGGCAGGAAAAAAGGAATCCAGAGAAGCATCAGGGGTTAAAATCCAGCAGTTTGTCTTTGTGTTAGTGTGTGTGTGTGTACACAAGTGGGAAGGTGACGTCTGAGTTGCTGAGTAGACTAGGACACAAGAAGCATGCAAGGCAGACCCCAGCTATTGCATCAGTAGCTACAACCTATAATGTAGAAGGTGGGAGGCAGATGAAGACAGAGAGAGAGAGAGAGAGAGAATCAAGGGAACAAAGTTAGTCCAGAGTTACCACTGAAAGGCTGTCAAAGAGCAGGGGAAGCCCAAAGATGCTACAAGTCCCCGTCAGCAAATCATGAAGCTGTTTGGAATGGCCGGCTCGCACCCGTGTCAGGAGCCAGAAGGGAAGCAGAGAAAAGGGAGCTGTTAGACCTGAGAGAGTTAGCGTGGTACCGGGCAGTGCTCCGGGGAAAGCTGTAACACGACTCTACGAAGCTCCACCTAAACGCCCTGAAGGCGAGGGCTCCAAACTCTGCTTCTTCCCAAGGATATGGTGGTGGTGGTTTTTTTCCAGAGGGGCCATGGCGATGTCAGTGTGTTGTATAGAGAGGGTCTCGAGGCACCTTAAAGCAAGATTAACCCATGGTGTCTGGGGCTTTCTCCTCCCCCCGCCTCGCCCCTGTGTCCTAACAGCTGAATTACAACTGGATGTTGGGAGAGTAACTCACAACATTTGTCCTCCCTGATAACCCCCTTCTCTCAAACACTTTCCCCGTTCCTCTCTTCTCTAATTCCTGCCCCCCACGTCTGGGAGAGAGTTAGATCCCTTTTGCCAGAGGTTTGAACCTGACGTTTTACAGGGGGCCATGAGCTATCCTGCCCAGCTCAAAGATGTAGTGAACTTGCCGTAGCATAAATGTTTCTGGTCTAGATTCCGCCTCAACAGAAAGGGAGCCCCAAGTCCTCAAGCAACTATCTCTAAAGGAAGATAGCTGCCAACCATCTAAAAGATTGCCCTATCCTGGCGACGTGTGTTTCCCTGGAGGTAGAACCCAGCACGACTGGATGGGATATACAGCCAAGGAACCAGACAGAAGCCTGCAGCAGTAGGATGATGTTAGAAGGTGTATTTTTCGTGTTAGCAATACACACGGCCCCAGGTATAGTGGAAGCTTAATGAAACGCAGTTGTCTGAAGTGGCATGGGCACAGGCCAATACGTACTCGGCGGATTTCCAGAAGTGTCCCGGATGAGAGAGCCTCCGGTTGAGCTTTGGCAGTTTTTCAAGCATTTCCATCAGAAGTGTGAAGCTGGGCCGCTCGCTGACATCCAAAGACCAGCACGCCGCAAGGATTTCCTAAAAAGTGACATGGGATGTGTTCAGTTGTGTGTTTTACAGTTCATTTCTGATCTAATTTTCATTGACGGAGCATTTTGCAAAGCTCAGCCTGAAAAGCGATTCATCAAGAACAAGATTATTCAGGACTGAGAAGAGCCCTCGCCAGCCTCCCCCCCATTCAGGGCCCCCCCAAAAATACATTGGCCTGAACGTTCCATGGGCTCGCAGCTGGCTGGAGGGGGTTGTGCAAGTTTATTTCAGCATGACTGGAAGGCACCTAGTTGAGAAAGGCTGCCTTAAAAGCTACCATGGCAGGGCATCTGGAAAAGGTTCTGAGGGGCCCACGACTAGCTCTCCATCCTGCTCGGCTCAACCTTATTCCAGCCATTCACAGCCTTGGTATTCAACAGAAATGCAATCTCAGAATCATAGCATTGGTGGAGTTGGGAGGGAAGTCAAGGGGCCACACAGTCCCGTCTCAGCCAATGCAAGAAATTATGTCACAAGACAGATGTACAGATCGGGCCCCACATTCCGCTCAATACGATACTTCTCTAACTGCATCTCCTGTAAAGCTTAAAAGCAGCAGCCGACTGGCTTAAAGGCCAACAGAAGGGGCATCTGATAATAATGTTCTCCCTTAAAGAACAACACATCTCCTGTAAAGCTTAAAAGCAGCAGCCAACTGGCTTAAAGGCCAACAGATAATCATGTTCTCCTTTAAAGAACAACATTTCTTAAAGAACAACATGAAGGGAAATATGATAGTGCTTTTCAAATGCTTGAAAGGTAGTCCTACAGAGGGGAGGCAGGATCTGTTCTCCATCATCCCATAGGCCAGGGCATGTAATAATGGGCTCAATTTGCAGGAAGCCAGATTTCGACTGAATTATCAGGAAAAAATATTAACTGTTTGAGCAGTACAACAATGGAACCAGTTACCTTGGGAGGTGGTAAGTACTCCAATACTGGAGGCTTTCAAGAGAAAACTGGACAACCCTCTTTGATTTGGAATCCTGCCTTGAGCAGAGGGGCTTTAGAGGCCCCTTCCAACTCCATGCTTCTACGATTCTATGATTTCTATGGTTTTACTTACTTATTTTCTTTCACCTGTATGTTTTTTTTCCTCCCAACTAAGAGCACCGAGATTAAAATGGGAAGTGGTGGCAAGGTGTTAGCACTATAGTGGAAAATCCCCATCCACTTACGCCAACTTCTTTCCCGAGGCTGCTTGCCGAGAGGACTTGCTTCATTCCTTCGCCGCTCCCAATCTGCCAGATCAGGGCCTCAGCTGCCTGGTTCTTATACGGCCACTCTCTAGCTTGCAGCTCGTACCACACGGTCCTGAAAGGGCCAAGAAAGTGCTACAGTCAATTTTATTCTATAGCTGTGGTCCACAAAGCTCCCACCGTCAGTGAGCAGCCCAAATCCAACGGGAGTTGCTGTCCAGGATCGTGCCCACCTGCAGATTTAACAGCCCAATCACACCCGTGGGCTCCGACAACATCCTTCAAAAGAAGCCTTAACACTGGATGCTCTGTTTGGCCCTAAGCTCTGCCCCAATGCCAAGGGGCAGCCCAAAAAGACGGGGAAATCTGAGAGTGCCATACAATCTGAAGTTTTAGAAGAGGTAGCCATGTTAGTCTTGGCAAACCTATCAGGCAAAATCCAAAGCAGCAAAACAATACAAACAAAAACGACAAAAACAGGTGGCACCTTAAAGACTAACCATTATATTTTAACGGAAGCTTTCGGTGACGCTTCCACTTCATCAGACATTAATAGACAGAATGAAGTGCATATGAAATATCCGTTCCACATTCTAAATGTTCATGGGTTACGTGCAGTAATTAGGCCTATGTTTGTTTTACAGTCTTGTTGGAAAAATACTTCGGGAAGAGAGAAAACGGACAGCAGGTCTGAGCAGTGATGGGGGGGCTGAGAAGAGAGAGAAGAGAGGAAGGGAGGTGGGGTGGGGTTGAAGATGCAGTTAATCTCACGATGGGAAAGGAAGAATGAAAGAGATTAGCAGGGGAAACACGTGTGTAGGGAATAGAGACAGTTTTTGCCTTAGAGCCTTGAGATGAGAGATGGGCAGGATAGAAGTGAAGAAAATAATAACAGTGGTCGCAAACAGTAAAAGTGTTACATGTTCAGTAAAAAGCTAAAGCTGCCATTGGCCCCAATTCTCAGTGGGCACAAACTTGCATTGTCCTAGATATATCTTCAGAGAACCCTTTTAAGTACCTTGAAAGCAGCACGGAAATCTATTTCAGGTTGGAAGGAGGGGAGCAGCCTTTTTAGTTCTCTGGAGGGGTGTGTGTGGCAACACTGGCAATTTTTGGGGGGCACCCCTGCAAGAGATGGGGCCAGCCTCGGTGTTCACCCTGTTAAAGGTCACTGGGACACAAACAGTAGGGAGAAAAATCTATTCTTCTATTCCCCAGTGTGGAAGCAGAAGCGGAAAGAAAGCTTTCAAAATATCACTGAGTGAACTTCTGGCCTAGGGTTACGAAGAAATTCACATGATGCGAAAAGAGAAGCAAAAGTATTTCTTCCCTAAAAAGGATGACCCGTGTTGAAATTGTTCTGATGGTGTTCCATCAAAACTGCTCTCAGGTTTTTTTCCCCTTGACTTTGAGCACAAATTCAGTCACATGTTTCGCCGAGACAGTGATCCCTAGTTTTCACGCCCACAAACGGTGGGAAAGGCAGAACTCCCACAATTGCTCTCAAGGGAAAATAGATTTCACTGCTGCAATCAGAGAGGGATGGGGAGGGCAAAGCCCAACGAGAACTACCTTTTCCCAAAATCAAGTTTAAATATCAAGCCATGTGGGTTTTTTTTTTAAACCATATTACCTTGTCCACCTTCAGGGAAGTTCCAGGCAGCTGACAAGGTGTTTCCCCTGCATTTCCTAATTCGCAAATGACTACTGCATTGTGCACTTTCATGCGTCTACCAAAGCCTGCTTCCTGTTCTTACCCAAAAGCATAGACATCAGCAGCCTTAGAGAAAGGAAGCTTATCTTCGTCCTTCCCAGGAGCCATCTCACGGACAATCTCTGGGGCCAGGTAGCACAGCCAGTCGTGGGGCAGTTTCAACTCGTTCTCACGCCTGCAAGCAGGAAAGAAAGGCGTTACAGGATGTCTTTGTTCATGCTCGTCACACTTGGCGCAACCTGGCAGCTACAACACCAAGTCATACACCCTGCCAGGTGTCCATCGTGACTGGAGACATGTGCACGAGCGCATCTCTCCAAAGAGCTTCTTTAGAGGCCACACAGCTCTGTTGCTTCGGGTGCAGAGGATCACAAGTTCAATCCCTGGCATCTCCAGATAGAATATTATCAAGGAACAGGGAATGGGCGAGCTTCTTTAGAGGCCACACAGCTCTGTTTCAGAGCACATGCTTCGGGTGCAGAAGATCACAAGTTCAATCCGTGGCATCTCCAGATAAAATATTATCAAGGAGCAGGGGGAATGGGGAAGACCCTTCTCTTCTGAAGACATGAGACAACCAGAGGCAGGCAAGAGGAAGTGATCCTGGGCTCAGTGAACAAATACTCTGATACATAAGGAATTTCCTGATCTTCCTAGGTAGGAGATCTTTTTGTATGGACTCACAGTGAAAACATCATCCCCTTAACACAGGTAGACGTTTGGCGCCAGTGGATGCTCTCGCTCTCTAAATATATATATTTATTGAAGTGTTTCCTGTATTGCTTTTAAGCTATTGTGTCCTATTGGTATTCCTTGCTCATTTTACTATTTCTTGTGTGTTTTTATTTGTCCTTGTGTTTTAATCTTGTTGCAAGTCCCCTCACGTCCCACAGCGGAGCAAAAGGTGGAACATAAATTAAAGAGTCATCAGTGACAACATGAGTAAATCTACCCAAATATTCCAAAGCTAAATATCTCAAAGAGGTGAAGGATGACTCAGTACAGAGCAGCCACTTTCAGTAGCCACCCTGTGACCGGCATCAGGGGCCAGCCCTGCCATTCGGCAGAGTGAGGCAGCTGTCTCTGGAAGCGGATTTTTGCTGTCATGAAAAGTTAGCAGATGATCAATGAAGGGGTTGGTTCTTCTGCTATTAGAGAGGGGGAAAGGCACTTGTAGGATCCTGGTCAGCCTTGAGATGCATCTTAAGAGGTGCCCCTTCCCACTCCCTCTCTGGACAAGCTGAGGGAAGAACTCAGCAGAAGACTCACCTTCCCTCCTGGACCACGCCGGAAATTCCGAACAGACCAAAGTCTGTGATGACAACTTTCCCATTTTCATAGAAAACATTCTTCGATTTGAGATCTTTATGCACAATCCCTTTTGCGTGAAGGTACCCCATGCCCTGGCAGAACACGGAAGCAGGGTTGAAACATGGAAAGAACACATAACACCTCCATCCAGCGTTTAAACATACATGGACTCAACGACTGTATGCAGACATGGTAGGCACCACCACCATCACAACCAGCAAGGACTGACATTTCTACTGCTTTGATGGTTCCAGAAGGGCCATCCTTCCTATCCACGTGCAAATTCCTACTTCTTCAGGAAATTAATCACGGTCATTACATCGGAATTATGCCTGCTACCTGATCCCAACCCTTCCCTGCTCCATTGGTAGATCCCCAACTTCTCTTCCCTCTCCTTCCTCCCCCAGGTCTTTCCATGGAGTTCAATCAATGGGTAGCAGTGACTCTGCCTGCCTTCACCTCCATGACATAATGGCAATTCAGCCAATCACAGCCAAAGGCTTCAATGTCATCCAATCATGTACTGCATTACATTTATTTTTTTCTCTAGAGCATTTACAGTCCCCCCCCTTTTGGACCAATTAAAACATAGAGCTAATTATGTACAGTACTACTGTATGTCAACACTATTTCTTAAACAATTTCATTCAAAATGATCCTAAATGCAGCAGTATCCAAAAGTTCTCTTAATTTATATCAAAGAGAGAGAGAGAGCAAGAAACAGGGGTTTCTCCATCATTGTTCTGAAAGAGGAAGAACTCTTCCTCTTTCTGAACTTTTCCCCTTTAAGCTGTCTTTAAAAAAAACACATTTTAGCCACCACTTCCAAGGTGGCTAAAATTAATTTTAAATAAAATAAATAAAAATTAAGAACTGGAGTACAAATTTTCTGTACACTTTTCCATCCATGCCCTGTTTTTTTTCCTATCAGCCCAAGGATAAATTTAAATAAACAAAAAACCAAGAACCTAAAAATCTTACCTTAATGATCTCTTGGGCTATCTGTCTGGTCTTGTTAATATCTAAGGATATCTTGGGGTCCCTTACAAATGAGTGAAGTGTCCTTCCTTTGCAGAAGCTACAGAAAAGGGGGAACACAAATTTGTTTTAAAAAATAACATCAGTTCTAACATTTTCTATCAGCAGCTATAAAAGAATGCCAAGACAGGTGTATTGGTTCCTATTTTCCCATCTTGCTTCGTTACCTCCAGGTACCCAAACCTTTGGATTCATAGAAAGGATAGAATTTATAATCCAAGGTATAAAGTGATTCACACACATCCACACCACTGTTCCAAAACAAACCAGGGGACTATGGTTGACCTTCAAACAACGTTCCCTCCAATTTTCTGCCAACACGGGGTTCCAGACGCAACCAGAGCCAAATGGATGGCAACACTGGCTGCAGTCGCACACCACCGATGGAGCACTGCATGGTCGCACACACACACAGCTTAGAGGGAACACTGCCTTCAAACCAGAGTTTCAAACCAGGCTTTGTTAACTGTTTCGCAAACCCTGGCAAAAAACAACTGCGATTCTGTGACAACTTTGTAAGATATTTATTGTTAAAATTCTCCTTTTTAGCAACGTCTCAAAGCAATAAAAACCAACTATAAAATACTGAAATTGCATACAATTAAAACAAAACGAAATTCAACAGAAATCAAGATCTAAATAGGAAACTCAGAACAGCTTAAAATGTATCAACGCACTGACATTCAGCCCTACAATAAGGGGAAGTCTTTCTTTTAGAAAGATTATTCCATTTAATTATCTAGGCATCTAAACCATATGAACATACGGCACTCAAAAGTGCAGTAACAGTTCAGAAATCCAAGCCTGTGATCACACTCTGCTGATCACACTCTTCCTTCCATGCACATATGACAGTCTTAAGGAAGTATTGTACGAACAAAAAATCCACAAGATTCCAGAAACACAATTTTGACAGCTCCAAAGTGTGAACCAGTGTATATGTTTAGCCTGGGGTAGATCAGTATTCCTGACTGCTTATAACCATGATAAAAGTGATGCTTTCCTTACCTCTCTGGAGTTATCTACAGTGCCAAGACTAAACTATGGTTAACAACAAACCAGCATTTGCAATCATGGTTAGAAGTTGGTTTGGAAACCCAGCTACAGACAGTGTTAATATCTTTCCAGACAAGAGGCAGCTGAACCAGGAAGGGGAATGGCCAGATGCAAAGGAAGATGTGAAGTCTGGAGCGTCACATTAAAATCCATACCTTGTAATAATTGCTAGATGAGGGGGGTTCATGCAGGCCCCCATGAAAAGCACCACATTCTCATGTCTGGTCTGTCTGTAATTCATCACTTCCTTCTTGAAAAGCTTCAGGTGGTCCTGATTGTTCCCATCGATTTCCAGCAACCGGATGGCCACCTCTCCGTGCCATTTGCCCCGATAAACCTTGCCCCACCTCCCCTGGCCAATGGGGTCACCCAGTTCAATCTGCTCAAAAGGTATGTCCCATTCTTGCAGGTAGACGCTCGTCTGGCTGGCCTTGCGGGAGATCATCCCTCGCCAGCGGCTTCGCCGGCTCGGCAGGTCGTCAATCTCATCTTCATCATCTTCCGGTTCTGACTTATTTGACTCTTGGCCTTCCACGTGCTTGGAAAAAAACAGGCAACCACATCAGTGATGGAAGGGGTCTGCTCCTCCACCTAGTCACCTGTCCTGCCCTCTAGGGCAACCAAGGCTAATCTTAATTCTTAATTAATCATCCCCATACGGAGTCACCTGCGTCTACCCCAAACAGGTGAAAACTCACCTCTGCTTCACGTTCCTCAATCCCATCCGCCGCTATGTGTTCATTGGCACTATTCAAGAGAGGAGAAAGAAAGCAGTGAGTTGACATTACAAAAGGTTGCCATGAGGATCGGGGCCTGGCACTGTGCCTTTGGATGCTCCTGTAAAGAAATGCCTCAGCACCCCCTGCTGGCACCAAAAGGACAGACCGGAAGACAGAAAAGCAGCACAAAGAGACCTTTTAGAGAGCCAATGTGGCTAGAGCGCGGCACAAGACTGGGGGCTCAAATCCCCACGCTGCTGCAAAAGGGGGCTGCTCTCTGCCCTTCAGCCACTCCCTCCTTCTCAGGCTACATCACCAGGTAGATCTGAGAATAAAACATGAGGATTGGAGAAACCTTATGGGTATTGACCTCAGCTCCTCTGAAGCAGGAATGAGATTAAAAAACATAACAAACAAAATCTCATGGAATCTTCTCTTCTTGCTGTAGGTCAAATGGGGCTAATTTCCCCCCTGTCTGTTCCTGGATGGCGGATCTAGCAGGGACATAGGGTGGGCCAATGTCTTCTTCTCTTCCCCTTTTCCCCATCATCCCTTCTTCTCCCTCTCCCTCCTTCTTCCACCTGCTTTTCTCTTTCTCTGTGTGTGTCTCTTTCCCTTCTTCCTAACACTTCGCCTTTCTGTCTGGGACGAGGTAGAGTTTCTCACCATAGCGCTTCCCACTGAAGCATCCCCAGTCAAAGGTTCCTGGTTGAAAGCTTCCAGTTAGCACTCAACCACAATGGCTACATTAGTCCATTAAATGTAATAATATGTTGGATGAATATTCTCATTGTGAACAATGGCGCAATTTTAGATGGTTATATATATCTTAATGCGAAAATGGTCACGTGCTGTCCCCCTCTTAGTTCTACTTTGTACAGCCCCTGAGAAGGCCATACATTCAAGCCGATATATCTGCATACTCTGGGAACATCCCCCCCAGGTCAGCAGAACACACACACATACACACACACACATTTATACACAATACACAAATTCTTGAGGACTGAAATTGTACCGCAACCAATAAGCGCAGATCCCACTTCTCCAGTGGCAAAAAGAAATACCAAGAAACACAGGCAAACTTACTTAGTACATTCAGCAGGTTCAGGAGGCTGCGTCACTTGTGGGACACTGGGAATTTCTAGGAAAGAACAATATGTAAAACCCAATTTGAAGTCTACAGTTCTCACAACAATTTGTTTTTTAAAATAGCTGCTGTACTACTCATCAAAGAAGTACTTGGCCCAATATCTGTGTTCAAAAGAGTCACATGGCACAGCTCTCAAGAAACTGTACTGCTTCAGATGGCATGGGACGAAATGCATCCACCGCATTGATTCCTCCTTGCAAAGAGAAAACTAGGCTATAATCTTTTTCCCTGATGGGATAGGTTTTTACATGCAAGGTGTCCTTCCTTCCTTCCTTCCTTCCTCCCTCCCTCCCTCCCTCCCTCCCTCGAACATTGCAACAGAGACCTCCACATTTAATATGGAGACACATTTTGTCTATCATCACAGAACTAATGGTTTTATACAAAGCCAAAAAGCAGATTGCACTTTTCACACCACCTCTACACTTAGAGCTTTAGTGGTATTGATGGGCAAAATAATTTGCTGGTCGTCTATGATGCTGCCTTTTGCCTGCTCAGAGTATCTGTCCACGGAATCTCCTTTTATTGCCCATGTTTTCAGACCGCCAGCCCTTCCACATCACTTCCTAACCAATCCTTTAATGCCAGGAAGTGGTCCTGGAACCTACCCCAAAGTGAATGCTCAAATACTGTGCGGCCATGCCTCCCATTGTTTGTGCACATTATCACAACTGTTTGGAATTCTATACAAAGTGTGCCATCAACAATCAACAAATCTCTATAACTGTTGAGAAGGAAAGGAATGCACTAAATCCCAGACAGAAAGCAAGGAGCTGTCTTATGATTTTCCAACTATCACTCAGGCTTAGGAGCATATCCAGGAGAGGGTGGCCATTCCCATAGGCTCCTGGAGTCATTCTGTTGTTAGTGGGAGTTGTCATGCATCTTACAGACAGGGGTCTCCTTTCGAGGAGAAAGACAGGGTAAAAATATTTTAAATAAATAAAATAAATAAGAGGATGTGCCTGATCCCATGGTCTTGGCCAAGCAAAAGTAGTTGCGAGTGGCGAGCCAGTGACTTGCCCACCAGCACCCAAATTGGTTGGAGGACTGAGATCAGCAGGACCCACTGTATTATTGTGCAGGGGCCAAGAGTCCCTCTCTTGTGTACTTTAACCAGATCGTGGGAGAGAGGGGCATTATATACATACTCTAAAAAGGGGAGGTCTGTGCTATCTTCCCAGATCCACCCCTGTGTCTGGCTGGATCTCCCCTGGAGGGGAAGACCTGGGTAAGAATCTGGGAGACCCACACATCTTATTCCTTGCATGGCTTTGGCCGACTGCCCAGGTAGAAACAGGGAGATTCTCTCTATGTGACTGAGCTTCACCTACATCAAGGTGGAAGAGGATCCTGGTAACAAATAGATATTTGGGGCGGGGGGAGAGGAATAATTACAGCTGTAGGTTAAAATCTCTGGAAAGGCAAAGGGTCCTCACATATGATGCCTGTGATGCGCTAGGACATGAACACCCTGCTGTGTGCGATATGCCAAACTGTGATTCTGTGCCTTGCCCTCTGACAGGTTCAAAGGATCAACATGAAAACTGCAAACTTTCTCCAAAAGCAGTTGGCATCTGCAAGGATCTCGTATTAAAAAAAAAAACAAAAAAACAGGCAATTGCCTTCATACGACTCTGTCCCAGGAGAGGGCAAAGTGTAGCATTCCAGATGTGGTTAGGATCCCCATCCTTCATCACCACAGAGTCGTCCAGGAACATCTGGAAGGCCCCACTTCCAAAGGTTAAGAAACCTGTGCCATCCACTGGGGCTGGATCTCAATCTCCATCCATCCCAGCATGATGAGGGCCTTGTAGTCCAACAATATCCAAAGAATTACAGGTTGTGCCCTTCACGCCATGGATCTAAAACCCATATGTTTTCCCTCTACCCACTCCATGCATTTCTGCTATTTATGAAGAGGAAAACCCATGTGGAGGTTCTTTTTGTCTTGCAGCACATTGGAGAAAGGGGGTGAATTAGAATTACACCTAAAACATTTTAATGGTGTATAGTTACAAAATGCCCTGCATTATTAAAAATTGCAGGGGTTTAAACAGCATTGGTATAGCCAAGGAAAGGAAGGTATTTGTTCATCCATGCAAGCAAAGGCATAATTTCAATGCAGCATGCAGGCAAAAAAAAATTGATATTTTCCTTTTAGCACCTGGGAGAGGGGAAGAAAGAAGATGCCTCAGCAGAAATGTCACCTGGAGGTTAGAAGAACTCACCTGGGAAGATAAACTGTTGTCTATGCTGAATGTAGTAGGCAGCTTTTAAAAAAAAGGAAGGAAAGGAAAGGAAAAATAGAGAGAGAAAGAGACAGCAAGTACAAAAATAAAAGATTGCAAAAGGTTAGCATGTGAGAAGATTACAGTGTCAGCTATTGCCCCCCTGTATATTCCTATCCAGCAAATTAACCTTTGTTCATCATTAGTAGACGGTAAACAGGCAATCCGTAACATGGGAGCATTTTAGCACATGCAATATTAAGATTGGATCAGGCTTGCAGGATGCATTTCTTTTTTCAGATTCAAGAGGGTTAGAAAAAGGACATTTAAGCTTTCCGGAGTGGTTACACCAAACCAAGCATATCTGTCAGGCTATGCCTTCTTCTCTGGGGTCAATCTACCTCCCTCGCTTAGGGTCTCCTAATTTCTTACTGCCTTCAACCTTTCCCAACATTATTGTCTTTTGCCGCAAGTCTAGTCTTTTCATGCTACGCTCAAAGCACCCATAGCTTCCGCTTACTCATTTTGGCTTATAGTGAGAATTCAAGCTTGCTTTGGTTTTGTAATTAAATGGCAAGCTTACAGGCATGGTGCTATTTTATAAAATGTTTGCATTTCCCAGAAGTGAAAGCTACCTTAGTCCTCACCACAAACTCAGCGAAGAAGCCTGCAGCCGCTCTAAGACTTGAAAATGTTATTATGGCAGAAGATTTTTCGAGCCCAACATTTGGCCTGCTTCTGATAAAGTGGCCATTAGTTCACAAAAGCTTTAGTATAAGGGGCCACTCCGCACTCTCACAAAATACACCCACAAAAATGCTTAACCCACTGCCATTTTAACAGTTTAAAGTGTTTTGACCACAAATTTTATTGTTTTCATCTCTATGTCACCCAGATACATTTTATTTCTATGTGACTAACTAAGGCAAGACGTAAATGACCCATCTAGGTCCACTGAAGTATTGCTCCAAGCTCCTTCCTCCCTAGACAAAAGGAAGGTTTACCTGGAAAGTTGAACCGGCTGTCCCGCTGGCCCATGGGAGACTGGTTGGGGGGTGGCGTGGCACTGGGAGGGTTCGAAGACGGGAAAGGGGCAGGAGACGACGGAGTGGAAGAGGTGGTGGAAGACGGGTTGCTGCTTGAATCAAGGTGATTCATGGCTGGGGGATGCTCCTGGAAGTCAACAAGAGAAAAGAGGATTTATGAAACATTGGGACAGCAGGAATGAGTTGTATCTCTCAGCTGCTGTCTCCTGGGTTTAATCCCCACCATTCCATGGATGGCCAGAAAGATCTTAGCCCGAGACCCCAAGGAATGGCCGACAACTAGAATGGACAATAGGAGTTGATGTATCAAGGCAGAACCTTAAACCCTCTTCAAGCCACTTATGCATTAGAATTTCAGACTGCATGCAGATTTAACTATAGGCTCCACTCTCTTGTCTTTAGCCAGCTCACCAATCCTACATATAATTGTGATTAAATGGATCTATATGTGAGGTATGTGCACAAAGGGAGGGTTTCCACCACAAAAGGCCCTTGCTTTTGCAGCGGATGTACGTAGAATACGCAGAAAGACCTCCCTCTTAATGCATCAGCAAGCTGAAAAAAGTCAATGTTACTTAGGAACTGATCACACGATAACAGCTCATGCAAACCTGGCATCTTTTGGGGTGAGGGGAGGGGGAGATATCTTGAGGCGGGATTCTCTTGAACTAACCTTTTTAGTTAGTGCTTTTGGGAGGGTCCCAAACTGCGGCTCCGAAGGCCGGTCCACCGGGTTATTTATATCGGAAGGGACAGACTCCGTCCGTCTTAATCGTGGTACTACTGAAGACAAGGTGGAAGAGAAAAGCAAGAAAGGAGCCACTGATTTATGTGTCTTGTAACTGGAGCAGCCCCAGCTGACATATTGCTTGTGAGTTTGGGAGAGAAAAGGGGAGAAGAGAAGACAGATACCTACTGGGTAAGAAAGATATTCTACAGGGTGGGGCTTCTTTTGTACATTTGTTATGACACTTTAATCTGGAAAAGAGAAGACACGTTAGCGGAAAGCAAATGGTATTACAGATACGCCACAAAATGACAGCAGAGACTTTCCAAGGCTGTGCCCCTAAAATAGTGTGGTGCTGTGGTTCAGAAAAGCAGAGGATGTCATTCTCCCTTGTTTGTGAAGCTCTGTGGGCAACCGCAGGCCCCGTCCTTGTTCTAGCACAACACTGGATTTTTTTTCAATGAAGTCTGTTGGCTTAATCCTTCAATCGATGGATGGAATGACATGGAGTATGAGCATCATGGTTTTCCAAACACCAGAGGGTCCTTTCTCCAGAAAACATAGGAGAACCGTGCCTTCAGAAACCTCCTCTGGAGCAGTCCCACCTCCCCTCTTCCAGAACTCAGTTTTAGCAAACAAATACACAAAAATGTTTTTTGAAAAATGAAAGGGACCAGACACGGCCCTGCAAGAGGTCTGGGAGTGTGGAAAGAGGCCTTGGACTCTCCAGGGTTAAGCCCAAATTAATGCCAACTGTAAACCCATCTGTAAGACATGATATGGTGAAGAATCTTAATTTCTCAATGCTCGTTATTTAAAATTAGCTCTCTTGGAGTACGGAGCCATTATGTCACCTATTCTTCCAAGCCGCCGCTTTCTGTAGAAAAAGGGGAGTGTGTTTAGCACAGGGGCTCACCTGCAGTGCTTGCACTTCACTCCAAACATCATGCTTTTTTGACATACTTGGCACACCTGAGAGAGCCAAGATTTGGTAGAGAACCTGAACGAGTGAAAAATGAAAACAACAATAAACACAAGGGGGGGGGGAAAAGGAAAGGCGTTATTTGAGAAGTCGATGTGTGACACTTTGCTGATCTTCACTGCCTATAAAGAGGGACATTAGAGAAGGCACCCCTTCCATTCCCCACCATATTGGCACAGGAGTCGCATATGTCAAAACCATGCCACCACAGGGCCAAGCCAACTTGGAACGCCCTGTTCGGCTTTCACCCAAGTCTGCTGAGCCAATCCTTTAAAAAAAAAAAAACACCCTCAAAACAGCTCTCTGCCCATCAAAAATCCGGTTGTATTTACCTGTGTGTTACAGACAGGCCAATATCTCTTCGTACCATTTGAGGAGATCCCTGGGGGAGATCTAAGAAAACAAACATGTAAAGAAGACGTCGCGTTAGCTTAATAGTCAGTGCTCCTGAAAAAAGGGGTACAATCCACACAGGGCCTACTCCAAAAGGGGTGGAGGATTCATTTGCACCCATCAGGATGCAAAACAACTGAGGTGGGTGTGCCTTGGCATCTTCAGTCCATCCAACAACCCTGTGAGAAAGGTCAGGATGAAAGAGTGCAGGGCTCAAGGGTCGCTGAGCAAGGATTTCAACCACAGTCTCTAGAATCCTAATCGAACACTCTTAGTCACTGCTCTACACTGGTCTAGAGGTCCCATCAGCCCTTACCACTAGAGTCGACAACAAGAAAGGACAGGAATTACAATGTGGTCAATACCTAGAAGCTCACATATTTTCCCCATCTACTCACAAAGTCTCGGGAGAAGCATGTCAAAGTTGGGGACAAAGGCTGGAAAGTTTCCATCCCGTGGTGTCACGTGGAGTGTGGCCTCCCGAGGAACTCTAGAGGGTCGAGTTCTGTTCCAGGGCTGAAGTTCTCCACCCCAACTGATCCATTCCCTCCTGTCATTGTTTGTAAAACCTTCCGCATGTACTTTTCCCTTCCAACTGTAGATGGAACTATATTCCCAGATGACACACAGGATTGAGAAGAGAAGAAACCAGACCACTTGGTGGCTGGAAATGCTGGAGCGATCAGCTTAGAACACAGCTGGAAAAGTGAATACATTCTTATGCTGGAGTTCAAGACTGGAGAGCTAGATAGAGAGCGACTCCTCGAAAAGCTGGCTCGAATATCACAACAGCACCAGTCAGTGAGCTGTTACGAACCATACGCATGCATCACTTTCCTAAGCCCAAAGTTTGCCTTCTAACCATATTGAACCCCTGTGCTGTTTTTCCTTTTCCTTTTATAATGAGCACAATGTGGAAGAGAAAGGGGACAAAGATTATTCATGAGAGGCTCAAGCACGGAATACTAAATAAATAATCATAATCTTAAAACTGCAGAGGTGGAAGAGACCCCAGAGATCATCAGGTCCAGCCCCTGTGAAGGAGGCATCACGGGGGAATCGAACTCCCAACTTCTGGCTACTAAGCCAGAGACCTAAACCATGGAGCTATTCAGCAGTTATTAGTTCTACACAGATATTAGAAGATAAAGCATATTGTAACTCTGGTTTTTTAAAAATCCTATTTGATTATAACGACTGAGCCATTATGCAGTGTGAAGCAACAACAAAACTTTCAGCAATTAGTTCCTTGGTTTTAAATATATTTTGGAGGATGGCTCTCAGAATCTCCAAATGGCCTTGCTGACTGGGGGATACTGGAACTTGTACTCCAAGCAGAAATTTCTAATATTTCTATGAATTAAATATTCCTAAGCTCTGGACAGTAATACAATCTTATGTGTGGCTGCTCACAAACAGGTCCTATCTAGTTCAAAGACTTGTTCCCAAGTTAAAGACGTATAGGCCTACAGCCTGCAATCTACCACGATGCACACTAAACTGGGTAAAAATGACAGATTTTCAGCTACATGCTCAGAGATCTCCCTAAAGACATATGAAAAATATACTATTCATGTTTGGCCACTGTGTGTGGCCTTGGGCAAGCTGCACAGTCCGTAAATCGAAAGTCTGCCCATCCTGGCATTAAAGCAGATCTTGGAGGCTTTTTAGGATAGTAGCCATGCTGGATGGAGGATTCTGGAACCAGTGGTCCATAAAAAGGAAATTTTCCAAGCTCTGGCACAAGTATTATATGTAGCCTCTGGACTTTGCAGACTCTAGCAAGGTTTTCAACATCTGTGTTCTTCAGACATCCATTTTATTTTCTCAATTATACACATGCCACTATGGATCAGATTTAAAAAATGTCACATGGCTCACGCTCCGGGACAGAATGGTCAAACTCTGCTAAAGCAAATCTCTGTGTGTCTTTGTGAAGGCTTCTAAAATTCCTAACCGCAAGACTCATGAAATTACAAATTATAATCAGATAGCTATCTGAAGCCAGCATTGTTCATATTTCAAATGACAAACATGACTTGCAAGCTGAACCTCAAGTGTCGGAGAGTGCCCAGAAAAAAAGAAACCACTTTCATTTCAAGTCAGCGCAGTCCTTAAGGAGATCATCACTTTCAGAGCAGAGACACATAGATTTTAAGCGTGCGTCCCCCAGAATCCATAGTTTACTCCAAGCACAAACACACCTAAACAGCTCAGTAAAGGCAGAGAGAGAGAGAGAGTAAAAGAGAGATCTCTTATATAACTCACATAACCACTATTTCCATCCTGAGGCTACAAAAGGAAGACTCTTAAAATTATTAGCCACTGGAATTTCTTCGCATGCCTGAACTTAGTCGTCAGAGTTCACGTTTGGCGCAAGCCAGCCATCCGTTTAACAAGGGCCACATCGGTTTCACCAAGCTTTCCAACAGCAATCGTTTCTTTTGTAAAAAACTGGCAGAACCTACAGCTCATGCAGAGTTGTTGCAGAGATGGCACCGGGTGCACTCCTGGGTGGGCCCACTGCAGGGGGGGTGCTGTTATGCAAGGGGCCCGTTCTCAAGAGCCCCATGGGTTAATGCTGCTTCTCTCATTCCCACTCATTCGCTCGCCCACTGCTTCCCTCTGGCCCAGAGTGGATGAAGCAGGAGCAGCAAGAGACAGAAGGAGGGGTCTGCTAACTGTGCATTGCTGAACAGCCAGCCCTCAAAGCTGAAGGGGTGTCAATGGACTCCATATCCCATCCACCCTAGCCAGCACAGGCAACTGCCAGGAGGGAGGGTCGTTGTCAGCATCAATATCTAGTGGACCACATGGCCCCCATGCCAGATTTTAAAGCCATAACTGCCCTGGTCATGTATGATGGAGTGATAAGGCTTCTTACATTGAAGAGTGAGAAGCACAATGGCTGAAGTCCAGTTGCTCGGCATAGTGAGTTGCAACTCAACAGGCCAACGGAATCAGTGAGGATCTGATGAGTCGGTTCCATCATAAGTTCCACTGATTCGATGGGCTTTCCCTAGTTGCAACTTACAATGCAAAGCAACAGGATTCCAGTCAATGGGGGTGAGGAATGTTAGATTCCCTCTCCATCCCAGAATCTCTGTCTGCGTTATGACTCTTTTTCGGGTATTGTTTTTCTTTTAGCTAGGGCTTAAAAAAACAAGAGGCAAGCTCAGTGAAGACGTTGAACACGGAATGTATAAGAAACATCCAGCACACCCTTTGGTATGAAAAACAAATACTCACATTTGATTCACAACTGGGAAAAACTCCAGCTGAAAGCCACATCTAACTCAACAGCCCTTTGAATTAAGCAGCTGCTATATTATTGTTTAAAAAAAAAACACTTTCAGGAAGTGTTTTTCAGGAACAGAAGTATTCAAAGCTGCCTTTAACAACTGAGTGTCTTGGATGCTGTTAATATAAAAAAATTGCTTTGCTTATTTTCTCTCTTCATGTTTCTATGATTATGCAAAACTGCCATATTGTTATATATATATCAGTAGATGGGGTCTCTGGGATGTTCAGGCTTTAACTGATAAACCACCCAGAATAGTACGTGCACTAATGGGGTGGTATAGAAATCAAATGAATAAATAAACAAGTCACACCTTTTTTTTATACCTCACCCCCACTTCCCCAGAATTCCCTTCAAACAAGCCAGCATTGGGAGCAAAGTTTCTCCTACTGTTTCGAAGCAAAATCTTGCTGTAAGCAGGGGTTCGTAGGAAAAGTTACGTTTCGGCTTCGAATCTACAAGATGTGACATTTTCATTACCCGCTGCAGTTCACATAACGATTGTCAAGATAAGGTATATCTTACCAAATCTGAAAGAAATGGAAAAAAAAAGAGAAAGAAAACAACAGTGGGTCACAGTAAGACATGAATCTCAGAAACACATTCAGTATGGCTTCCTTGAAATGACAACCGCCTCCCAGCCTTCGCCTGTCCAATCTGGAGATGCCAGGGATCAAACCAGAGAACTTTCTGCTTCTTCCACACCTTGAATTACAGCGGTGATTCCCAACCTAAGGTCCCCAGATGTTCATGGACTACAACTCCCAGACATTCTGTCCAGCACAGCTAGTGGTGAAGGCTTCTGGGAGTTTTAGTCCCGGTTTTAGAACAGCTGGGTTACCCAAACTTGGGAACCACTGGGTGACAGCTTCTCCCAAGTTCTCACAATAAAACAATGTAATTTTTACTGTGTTTATATGCTTGCGTTGTCCTCAAACACTCCCAGGCACTCAGGCAATTGAAAATAAAAGAAGACATGACTATGTCTGCCTTTGGTATATTTGATCATCATGACATTGTTCATGTTGACAGGTACACTGGAAATGTTTTCAGTGATGGACTAAGGAGCCTCAAGCGAGTTCAATAAAAAAGAGCTTGGCAAAGTTACTTTTTTAGACTACAACTCAAGAGAACCCTCAAGCCCTAATTCAAGGCTCTGATTTTCCTCCTTCTGCTTCTTTAAAACAGAGGTAGACTGAAAAGTCTTTGAGATGGAGATGAAGGCAGGCTTTGAAATGGGTATTTCTACACCTTAAAAGAGAACACGTTGCTCACCCTAATTCAGGGACATACACATCCCAGTTTGGCTCCTTCCCCCCTACGAAAGCGGTGCACCCAAGACACATCAACCAAATTTCTCCAGTCAGCTTACAGAAAAGAGACTCCCTTTTCTTCATCACTCAGCCTTGATTAGAACAGCTTTCTTTGTGGATTTCATCATCTTTCTTGTGGAGCAGCCTAGTCTCAGCCCCCTGTCCCTCTTTTCCAGGATCTCTGGCTATAGTTTGAACTGGACTTGTCATACAACGGTCAGTTTTTATTATGTACATCACCTTGTGAACTCAGTGCTGAAGGTGCAGGTTTACCAATATCACATTATTAATATCAATATTATTAACAAAAAAAGAGAAGGGCTTCAGGAGAGCACCACTGGCGGTATATTGTCCGGAGTGGCTGGAACCTCTTGGCAGACAGCGCTGCATCTGCCTTGCAATGGTGTAAAGTTGCCTAGGCCCCTTAAATATAAGGATGGCCCATTGGAAGTTCAGTGACTAATAAGCTCAGTCTCTATAGGCCCAGTGTTGTTCCTTGTTCCTCAGCACCGTTCTTCAACAATGACAGGCATGAAAAATTTCCCTCCACCAACAGGATATAGAGAAATTGGAAAATTTTGACAAGCAGTGCCAGGATTTAAAAATTCTCTATCTTCAGAATGACTTGATCCACAAAAATCAAAAACGTTAGCGGACGGAAAAAGATTGAATATTTAATTTAGCATTAAACAACACTAAACAAAGAACATTTAGAAAGTTGTGAAGGCTTGCAAAACTGGATTGGACAGCTAGCTTTATTGGGGAAATATCCAGTATTGAGATCTTGGAAAACAACATACATCTTAAAGAGTTCTTCCTTGTAGGAAGCCCATGCGCTGATTTCCAAGGTTATAGACAACCTGTGGTTCCTAGACTTCATCAACTCCAAGTTTGGGATGCCAAAGAGCCAAGACATTCAGAAAGGAACCACGTTTGAAAAGTTATTACTCCCAGAATCCCCTAGCCAACACAACCACTGGGAGCGGGGGGGGGGGTGAGAGGAGTTATTTTTAGCCACGAGCAGTCATTTTTCCACATTCTGCTAAATGGATCAAATGGTTGTGTACAAGGAAGCCAACAGAGAGAGAAAGGAGACAGAGGGAGACTTACTTCACGGGAGGAACTTCGTCTATCCTGTTGCCGAGCTGAGATTCATGGGACTTGCTCCTCGTGAGAGTCGGGAAGTTAGGCAGGAGCTGGAAAACCTTCCGGCTGGGAGGGGGAGGGGTCCGGGGAGGCTTCCCCCTCTTGAGCTGGGGCGTCGTGGGGGGTGTGATGGTGATGCTGTGGGGAGTCCTCAGGTTGCGTCGCCCGCAATGGGTGGGGAAAGCAAAGGATTCCAAGAGGTTCTCAGTGCCCGGGCAGCCAGGCGTGCCTGGGCCATAGGAGGCGGGGAGGCAGTCCGAATGAGGGATTGTCGACACAGAAACGGAGCGGGGTTGCGTGCCGTTGCCCTTCAAAAGGGCCAGGTTGCCGTGGGTCCACGTGAGCGTCGTGGAGCAGGGGGAAAGCTCGGAAGGCGGGATCAAGCTGTTCTCACGGCGCACGTCTGACGGATTCCACACCAGGTCGTCTTTGTACTCGCTGCCTGCGCATGGATATTAAGGCATAGCATTCAGGATTAACAATCAGCAAGGGATTGATTGATTAATAAATAGGGTGATCATTTGGCTGCTGGAAAAAGCCAGAGGCTCTGAATGAGAGGCTGCTGCACTTTTGATCCATGTACTTTTAAATGGCTTTGCACTCCAAGATATTTTAACATGATGTCTTTTAGCATCTTAATTCATTACAGTTTTTACCTGTATCTTTTCTTAATCTTGTTGTGAACTGGGTCTCTGTTTGGAGACAGAGTGGGGATATACAATATATCAAATAAATAAATAAAATAAGTAACCCACTACAGAAGCAACGGGCTGTTTCAGAAGGCTTCATGCCTTTTCTTCTAGCTAACTAAAACTCAAGAGTTTGGAAGAGACAACATTTTGGACTAGATGCTTCCTTGTGTTCTGTTACAATCCCACAGCCTCTCTAACTGGCCCGTCGCTGTTTGCCCTCTCAGATCTCTGCACTGAGATTCAGCCGTTGTGCATGGTCTCTTTCGTAAGCAGCCCCACAAGGCCTCTGCGGGAGGAATAAAAAGGAACTGCTATCAATTGTGGGCAGAAGCTAGGAGAAGAAACTAAAAACCAGCCGCCCCTCCCCAGAGGCCAGGATAATCCTGAGCCAAATCAGTCATTCCATGCTTCAGGAGGTTCCACTAGGTCAGGTTAGCTGAGGAGATCTGTGGTCTCCTGACTCAAAATCCATGCCTTTTGCGTCTCCTATATGAAATGTAGTGGGGTAGCTGGCCAGCAAGTGTCTTATTCATTCATTCATTCATTCGTTCATTTGTTTATTCATTCATTCATTCAGTCAGTCAGTCCACTTATGTGCTGCCCCATAGTACTTCAGCTCTCTCTAGGCAGTTTACAACACAATTAAGCAAGGAATACTTTATTCAAATCTTATGCATTTTGCCTGAGAGCCAAAACATCCCTCTGCCATGAAGGGAGGGTGGTCATATTTTGACCCACCTTACACGGTTCCTTGGAGAACAAGTGCAATGCCACCAACAAAGAGCTTGGAATGCTAGGACGCAAAGGGCCTGACGGCATTTAAAGACAATATTTAAGAACAAAACAATGAAGCTACAAAGGTGGCGTGCATCATTAAAAGGCAATACGAAGAGGCGATCTTCAGCAACGGCTCTTTCTGCCCGAGTCCGCCAACCCGAGACTTAGATCGAGTCCGAGGAGCCCCCCCGTTTACCTGTTCTGGTTGCGCTCCTCAAGCAGGCCAAGGCGCCATTGAGTCGGGAGCATTCCTCGGCGTTGGCCCCACACCTCTTCATGGTGTCCTTCACTTTCGACTCGTTCATTTCAAGGAAGGCATCGAGAGTCAGCTCCTTTGGTATCCTCTGCAGAGAGAAAGAGAGCAGAAAGGGAGAAGTGATTCCAGAAGGGCTGCTCTCAGCTTATTTGTTCGGGAAAAGTTTTCAGGGAAATTTAAGTCCAGCCTCTCCACTCCCTCCCTCGGCCCGCCTTCCAGTATTTGGAGAGAGGCTGAATCACTCCGTGGTTGGGATACATTCACAGAACTGCACTGAATGACAGTCCTGAATGGGGCCAGATCCGTAGCACACAACAGCTGTTTCGGCTAAAGCACGGCACTTTTTAGGGGGGTTGTTGTTCTGGAGACGGAACAAAGGAGCAAGATATTTATTTCCTTTTTTCCAGTCACTCCAGTGTTTCAGCAGTGATGGGAAAAACGGACTGAGGTTCACACTCCGGCAACCTACTCCTCCCCGGGAAGCAATGCTCGGCATTGTGCGGTGACCTTTGGTGGTGCGTCAGCTGCGCCAAGACACAGACAAAGATCAGCCTACTGAAGAGTGACGCTTGCGAAGTGCAGAAAAGACCACATAAAAGGGATGCTGAAATCATACTGCCTGCACCAAGACACACACATCTCTGTGTGTTCACACACTGGGCCTTCCGACACACACATCTCTCTCTCTCTCTCTGTGTTCACACACTGGGCCTTCCAAATGTTGTAGAACTACAACTCCCATCAGCCACAACCAGCACAACCAGCTGTGCAGCTGCAGCCCAGCAGAACTTAGAAGGCTGCCCCGTACAGGGCGCAACTACTCTGAGTCCCACTGGTCAAATTCCTACTGGATATTTGCAGGTTCACATGAGGAATTGTGGAATTAGCCCCCACTCGCTACCTCGGTGCCAGGTGTGTGCTGGGCACACGGCCACCATGTGACTGGCACCTTATTAATCAGCCATGGCATCTTCCTTCACAAATAAGCAAGAGAATAAACTCTAACCTTGGCTAATAAAGCTTAGGTCCCACTTGGGGGAGGTGATCACATGGGGGAAAACAGATAAAGTCTTGGATCGCTTGTGGAACAGTCCAGTTGTAATCTATTTCCCAGTGATCACACAGCATACGTGGAATTGCACTCCAGCCTCGTCTGAATCTTTTCCCACGGTGGAAAAGCTGCAGTCCAGCTCAAGGGCGACTATTACTGAGTTTCACGGCACAGCGGTTAAACTGCAGTACTTCGGTCAAAACTCTGCTCATGACCCAGGTCCAATTAATCTCAGGTAGCTGGCTCCAGGTTGACTTCTGAGGTCAAGAAATTGAGTACCCAGCTTTCTGGGAGGTTGGAGGAGAGAGATGGCAATGTGTAGCCTGCATCATTAAATTGTAAACCACCCGGGCAATGTGTTAAGTGCTATAGGGACGCATATAAGCAGCACACATTGCTTTAACTTTTTGGGGTTGGGGGCTGGAGCGATTTCCTGACAGACAGAAGGGTCCTTTTAAGGGAGACCACTGCCTGCAAAGTTACCCTTCCCAGTGCAATCAGATGTGCATCTTTCCTCCATCCGATTGCATCCTTACTCTTCTGTACATATATCGTAAGTAAATACAAAGCCAGGACAACTAATTTCAGTTAGTATGTCAAAAGCCTTAATAGCGGTGGGCAAACCACAAATGTCTAGATGTTTTTAGACTTCGACTCCCCAAATTTCTTGGAATCAGTTACGCCGGCTTAGAATGATGGACATCGGAGTCCAACAATATCTGGAAGGCTTGCTGGTTTACAAAAAGCTCTTCAAATGGCTATTGCTGTTGCTCTAGATTGAACAGAGAGAACGGAGGCTTATTTGATTATTTTAGATTTGAATGGAGAAGTGGCTTCCTAATTCACAACTCTTGTCTTGTGAGTGCCATGCTCTATCAGCTCTCAAGAAAAAGGCAGAAAACTACAAAAGAAGATAAACCTAGGAGCACTCAAGAGGCATTCTGGGAGGGGGAAAAAAGAAAGAAAGTTTGATAATTTCAATCAGGCTACAATCCAAGTCACGAAGCAAGAGCGTCACAGAGTGTTCCGGAAATTTGTTCCAACACCAGATGATGCAAGGACATTGTTAACGTGTATTTGTGCGAGAGATCGGCTTTTTTTAGGAATGCTTCCAAAAGCTGTCGTTCCTTTCCCCCCCCCCATCCCCACTTCTCCTCAAGCAAACATCTTAACATGAGTACAAATGGTGTTTCAGGTGGAGACGCAGAAGCATGTCAGGCAGCACAGGATTCAAAATATCCACCTAAAGGGACATCCACCTATTCAGGACTCCACTACCAAAGCCACTAGCCCAGTCTCCCAGAGCTTGGGAAAGTTACATTTTTGGGAAAGGGGAACTACCGTTCCCTGAATCTCCCAGCCATCACAGCCACTGGAAGATCATCTACCAAAGTTAGGGCCTTTTGGGTGGTAGCACCAAGACTATGGGACGATGCCAGCTTTCATGGATCAAATCCGCCTGGCTCTTCAGATGCTGGAGTCTGAGATGCCACAACTTTTTAATTTTTTGTTTGTTTTTGCTTTCGTTTGATATGCTTGCACATCCTAATCCAGTAACTTGTTTGAAAACAAGTCAAAAAAATATTAAGGTTTTAAGCTTTGTGGTTGTGCTGAGGGTATTTGCAAAACCCAAAATTCCAGGACCAGCCCAAGGTGTTTTACTGGGACAAAAGACAAGATTCGGGTCCCTCTAAGTGAAGCTGAATCTTACATTAACTCTGGCAATGGGATCAGATCTTCCACTGTCCCCGAGGGCAGCAGAACAGCGGCTTGTCCTATATACACGGCTCTATCCTTCAGTGGAGAGAACGATCAGAAACGACAAAGCTGTTGTCCCCCTACATCTCCTTACATAAGGGCAGTTGCCTCACTTTGCCTAATGGTAGGGCTGGTCCCAAAGAATCCTTCTGATCCCTATCAGATAACCCTAAACCAACAATCCTATACCTCTACTTATTATAGTTTCAAGAGCTGCTGCACTTCCTCACTCTGGGCAACGAATTGCAGAGAGACGTCCTTATGCTACTCTTCAGCACCTCCCCTGTTTTGCTGCCAGTGACTGCCTCTTGCAGCCGCCCCTCGACAAGGTGCCTGCTGGCAGGCGTCCGATGCCAGTCTGTCTCCCCCAGACAAGTTTATTTGGCCGTAGCAACCGCAGGCCGATCGGCGCTGAGTGCCTGTCTCTCCGAGGCGCTATTTTCATTTCCCACAAAGCCTTGGAATTTCACTATATAAGTGCTATTGTGGGAAAGTCGAAACAGTGCCCTGTAATAGGCTGGAGAGCCAGTTGCCAACAACTGAATACCAAACTAAGAATGGTTGTTGTTGTTTTTTAAAGCGGAAGAAGGATAGAAACGTAGTTAAATAGAGAAATGCATAAATGGGGTCCAGAACAGGCCACAGTGGACTTACACTGAAAGAGGATGTAGAATGGTATCTGAGGGTCTGCCAGCCACAACCCAGGACTTCCTACTCTTCGGTGAGGATACCCTGCGTTTGCCAGCACCCGGACACGCACCTGACGTGCTCCATTCCCAAAGCCAGCGGGCTCTTTCCCCGCTCCGGGCGTTGTTTCTCCACTCCCTAGAGGTTCTGATCTAATCAGGTGTACAGGAAACCAGCTCACGCTGCTCCCGGACATGAAGAACAGACCGTAAGTTAAGCCTGACGTGGTTTCAACAGCGGCACGTCCAAACACACAGCCTAACGCTTGCACCCAAGCAGATAGAAAACTAGGCTTGCCGTGAGCAAATGTTTAATCTCCAGGCCAACCAGAACACAAACACCACCTCCTCGGTCCACACAGAACGGAGATTATGATGGGCCGCAGGCCTGAGCGTTAGGTCACCTGAACAGTCACTTTTATGTGATTTCACTTCAAGGCACACCTTGTGAAGCTGGGTGGCGAAATACATATATACATCTCGGGAATGAAAGGGACCCGTGCTTCTTTTAGAGGTTGCGACTTTTGGAACCGCAGTGCCAAGACAGACTGTCGGTCCCCGAAGAAACTTTTTAGGAGATTTTAAGGATTTTAAGAGCCGTGGCCCAAAAAAAAAGGGAACTGCTCCAACTCTGCTTCTTTTGCCAGTCTTGTGTAAAGCTGAAGAGAGCTGGTCCGGGTGCATAAGCACCCTCCTCCTTTTTTCATCTACTAAATGCCAAAGGATGCAAAACATCACTTGTTGGATAGCTTGGTGGTTTAGGTATCTGGCTGTGGAGCCAGAGGTTGGGAGTTCGATTCCCCACTCTGCTTCCTTGACAGCAGCTGGACTTGGTGACCCGTAGGGTCCCTTCCAGTTCTGAGTTCTGAGATGAAAAAAGCATTCAACACAGCCTTGACCCAAGGAATTATTACTGAAAAAACACACATTTTCCAAAAAAAAAGTGTCTATGCTATATGTTCCCCAGCATTTCCTCAGCAATAAAATTTTCCTTTTTTCCCCCTGTAGTTTCCTTGTCCTCTGCAGTCATTCTTTCCCCATCCTGCTGTTTTCGTCTCACTGACTGTGACCATCCACATGAGCTGGTTTGTTGGCACGGGTGACAATATGCTAAGGTCTCGTCATCAAAATCCCATGGACTGCCACAACCAATTGGATGAAAACACAGCAAGGGGGGAAATGATGCCAGTAATTGGGGGTTGGGGAGGTTGCATCCAGACTTTCACATCAATCAGTGAAAATTTTATGTATACATATAAAAAGCAGGCACTTCTCCCTATTTCCAAAGACTGAAAGGAATCCATATATTAAAGCATGACATTCAGGGCTACCAAGACATAACAACACCCAGAACTTTGCAAAAGAAACATGACCGTTAACTTATAACCTAGACAGTATGAACAAGCCAGCCTGCCTGTGAACATAATTATGCTGGGAAAGTTGGCGCAGCCCCCATTTTGTTCTGCTGTCTTCCCACATTATCTGGTGTCTGAACTGGATTCTGGAACAGGCTGTGAATTCTCATCGGCAGACTGGCTCACGCCCAGAATCATAAGAAAACCTGCTGTCATGAAAAGTGGGGTTGGGGGGAGA